CTCAAATGTTAATGTTAGTGACCCTGATGAAGATTTCCTTGGTCACAACAACAAGCAAAAAATAAATGAATAAGTAGATAAAATATGATAACACACCACAAAATAACATAGAATTAAAAATAAATTAAATTAAATTACATTACATTAAATTAAATTAAATTAAATAAATAAAATAAAATTTACAAAATTACACTACGCAAATTAACAAAAAATTCAAATTCAATTCAATTAAAAGAAAAGAAAAGAAGATAACTTAACACAGATTAACATAAAATTACAATTAAATTAAAAGAAAAGAAAGGAAGATAACACAACACAAATTAACATAAAACTGAAATGGAATAAAGGAAAAGAAAAAAAAAATGAAATGAAAAGAAAAGAGAAGAAAAGAAAAGAAATTTAAAAAAATCGAAAGTAACCTTTCTATTATGGTACCAAATAGGAACACAGGACAAAAACTAAAACAAAAAGACAACAAACAAACAAACATACAAACAAACCAAAAAGACAACTTTAACATTACTTACAGGACTCAGGACAGCTGAAACTGTGGTCTTATCATTCAAATTTTTCTTCTACCGTCCAAACTTCCCCCAGTCTCGAACTCACACCCAGGCTACATCATCACACAACCACGAGCTGTCGAAGCCACTGATCTGTTACGTTCTACTTCTCAAACCTGCACTGCACTGCGCTGCGCCTAGAAGAAAAATCACTTACGGACTCCAAAGATCGTGTATAACAAGATTATTCACTCCTCTCTTTGAGCCATTTAAAAAAGTGTCCTCAAAATTCGGTGGCGCCCTCTCCGAAAAAGTGCGGACTTTGCGACCAGAATCACCTTACTTGTGTGAAAAACAATAAAAGCGATACTAACAAACTGTGCTTTTCTTATTCTTCTTCTACAGAAACGAAAGAGTGCTTCAAAACAAAGACTGCAGCGTCATCTAAACCAATGCGCGGACTTCCGCGGACACTTTCTTGGCCGACTGAACTATCTTGTTATGAACGATCTTTGCGGACTCACGGCAAGATCAATATAATATAGTAATATTATAGAAGTGAAGTGTAGGTTAATTGGTCATTAGACTTTGCGCGGCCATTATTAGACGAGAGCTGCTTGCAGCAAGTCGTGTGAAGGTCTGTTATAGGTCCTGTTTTGTAACGGAAAGTTTATAGTTGTGAGGCATCGTCGTGGTAAAATCAGACGCTCGTCAAAATAATGAGATCAAAGAAACCCCCTAGTTTCTATCTCTAGGGCAATTTTTTTCAATTTTTTTTCTCAACACCCTTTAATTTCCATTTAAATCCCATTTTTGGGTGGATTTTTTTTTAACACTGAAAAAAAGTTGATGTAAGGCACACACACACACACACACACACACACACACACACACACACACACACACACACACACACACAC